ACTGTCCACAAACAGCTGGCTTCACAGAAAAGTGAAATGGCCTTTTGGGAACACAGTGACAGCACCAGCTAGGTGACTGTACCTTGCAGGGCTGGGGGAAGGTACTTCAGGAAGACATATGTGCTCTGAATAGGTGATGCTGCTTCTCCCAGAGCCAGGAGTCACAGGTCCAGGGACCAGGGGGAGGAATAGGAGAGACTCCACTCATTCTTACTTCTAACGATCCACTAACACATGCTCTGCCCCCTATGCCCAAGACACCATGCTCTGCTGGCCTAGAGGGATCAGTTCTGGTAAATGAGAGAGACACAGCAGTGACTCCATGGACACATCAGGGCCCCTTGCTCTTCAGCTCTCCAAACAGTGCAGCACCTCGGAGAGTGCCAGTCCCAGCTCCATCCTTCCTCCCTCACTGGGGCCAGGGCTCCCAGCAAATCACAAGCAGCTGAGCACAGAGATGGTGAGGGGGCAGCAACCACAAGGACAGCTGCCTGGATCAGGAACAGGGGAGGCACTGGCTGAGGCTGCCCACAGAGCCCAGGGAAAAGGAGTGCAGGACAGAAACCCCAGGAAGGGGGAGGGGAAGGGGAGGCACACAAGCATCAGGGGTTCTGCCTGGGCCCCGGGTGGAACTGTGTGTGGGAGGCAGGCTCAGCACCAGGACTTCACCCTCACAGCCCATGAGACACAGAGCTCCAACCACAGCCCTGGATCAACTCCTGACAGCTCAGCCACGGGCACAGGGCATGTGTGAGGCCCAGGTCACAGTTAACTGCATAAGAAGCAGTTCCCCTCATCCAATCAGGACCACAGAGAAGTGTGTGGTGCTGTGTGTCCCCAGAACCAGGGTCCCTGTCCTAGGCACCAGGCCCTGGGAGTGAGAGGGGACCATGACTTGTCCATCCTGTCCCCCCTGTCCCCTGACACAGACCTCCCCCTCCTGACACCCCTGGCTCCTGCTCCTACTTCTCCCCACAGACCCACCACCCAGCATTCCAGCCACACACCACTCCATCCGGGGCACCCTCAGTGTAGCCTGCTGCAGACAAACACAAATGGACACACGTTCCTGGAACTGTGAGCCTGGTAACATCTCTCTGAGGGAAGAGGCAGGGCCAACGTACTTACAGGAACAGAGACTCAAATTCACAGAACTGGAACATTAACATGATATGTTTGACCCCCATGAAATGTCTATGAAATCTTGTCAAATAAACCTGGTAACTACTACACTCCCAGATCTGTCCACTAGAGGGCAACAGAGATACTCAACAGTCAGGAGCCACCCCAGGGGGCTGCTGAACCCTGGCCTCCCTCTCCTCTTCCCTGGCAGCAGCACCAAGCCAGCAGGATTTCACCCTCACCAGCATCCCACAGTCCACAGTCCTCCTGACTCTCCATTCTTCCCAGACTGGACCCCATCAGCTCCTGCATCCAGCCAGGTTTCTCCCCAGAAAAGGCTGGCCCTCTGCAGGCAGCTGCTCCCAACACACCCTCCATGTCCTCCAGGGGTGAATACCCACTCATGCATCAGTCACAGCCAAAAGACCACCTTCTAAGAAGGGCTCTCTGAGATCCCCAGACCAGCTGAGACTCACGTGTATGCTCCAGATGTACCAGACACTTCCCCTTCACAGTCTCTCAATAATTAACTCTTTAGTTCCATGATTTCAGTGAGTAACAGTCTCTCTGTTACAAAGTAACCTCCATGAGCACAGGGCCCCTATGTCCTCTTCTCTGTGCAGTTCCCAGGGCCCAACACAGGGCCTGACACATCCCAGAAGTTCAGTAAATGCTCATTAAATGGATGAGGAAACCACACAGCAGACACCAGTCATCCATGTGGCACCCGTGTGACACCTGTATCACCCATGTGACACCTGGGGTCAGACCATGTTCCTTAGAAACCAAGGCACTGGTGAGAGCATGGGAAGAAGCCACCAACTGCCCACAGCTGTCACAGGGACACGCCTGTCCTCCTTGTAGAGTCATCACAGAGGACAGGGACCTCTTGACAGAGAGGGGCTGGAACCCCCTCATCCCCAGAAAACCACAGCCCTCCCCACCTCCACCCTGTAAGTGATGTCTCCTGGGGAGGGGGTGGGGCAGCAGCCTGAGTCCTTCTCTCCTCATAGAGACCTGACAGGGCACAAACTCTGGGCTCTCCACCCTGGTGAGTCACCACCAGGGAAGGGGGGAGTCCGTTCTGACCACAGAAGAACCAGGGGTGACTTCCTGTCCACAGGGTCCCTGGTCCAGGGAGACACCCACCTGTGGTCCCCAGAAGACATCTCGCCAGCCAGCCCATGGTGTCCTGGGGAACAAGGGCCACTCCCCGTGCATGATGGGACAGGAGGACCCAGGATCTGGGGTTGCTTCCATCTCAGAGGGGCTGAGGGTCCCACATGGGCCTCCCCACCCCCTGCCCGAGTCTCCACTTGGAGCTGCTCCAGTTTCTGGGCCTGTTGGGAGGCCTAGAACAGATGACAGGCAGGAACACTGATGACTTGTGGTGGGGACACACAGAGCAATCTGTGGACCAGCCCCCAGGCCTGAGCCTGCTCCTGAAACACTCAAGAGACCCCTCACCTGGCCCATTCTTTGGAACCTCTAGGACAAAGAACTCCTCCTGAGACACCAGGTCCCCCTGGGGGACAGTTCTCCTGACACAGGATCAGGACCCCTTTGAACAATGCCTGTCCTCTTTCTGGGCTCAGTCAGCCCTGAGATGGAGTCAAGAATCCAGAGACCAGGACCCAGGCTGACTGGCCGCTTGGCACAGTGGTCAGAGACCAGGTCTCCCCAGCATTCAGGGTCAGCATCTTTAGACAACCCCTGACATTGTCTACAGGTTTCCTTAATGCCCTCCAGGGGGCGACATTGAGACACACAGACAATACAGGAAACTAGCACAAGAACCTGGCTTTGGCCGAGGAGGTAGAAAAAGAGCCTGATTTTCATACCACAGACCTCTCTGGGCCCCTCCCACACGCCTGCTCTGTCCCACAGGCCCCTTCTGGGGTCTGGGAGCACCTGCTCTGCCAGGGGTCCCTGCGTCATACCCCACTCCCTGCCTGGCACCACCCATGGGCAAGGCTGAATGACCACAGGGAAGTCCTCAGGCACAGGACAGAGGCTGTCCTTATGGTCAGGGAGCACATGGACAGGCTCAGTCAACAGATATGGAGACAGGTCTCCCTGAAATTGTCCCCTGAGGACCAGGGAGCACACAGCCACCAGACCGCCCACCACCATCTTTATTGCCAGGACACGCAGGACACCTCTCCCTTCACACCTGGGAACTGCAAGTCCTTCTGAGACACCCAGTCCTGGGTCTCTGTCCTTAGAAGCAGAAACCAGGCTGATGACACCTAAAGACAGAGGGTGGGTCCCCTCACCAGTCATCACCCAGCTTGTCCCTGTCTCACCCCACAGTCACCTCTGTGACCTTCCTGCTGGGAGGACACCCACCTCCCCAGAGCATCTGAGAATCTGGGGAGACCTGGTGCCCAGCTGGGCTTAGTGTCACAAACAGAAACAATCCCCAGGTTTGGGGGCCCCCGGGACTCTCTGTGTGGTGGTGACAGACCCCAAACCAGGACACAGAAGAGACCAATGCTGGGGAGAGAGGGTTGTCCTCTCAGGGAAGGGTCTCCATCAACCTCCCTATTGGAGCATGCTCCTGGGCTCCTGTGATGTTTTTAATGAACAAGTTTAGATGTTTACAAGAAATGCCAAATGAAACATTCCGATGGATCTATTAAGGGGAATTGGATTTTCATTTCTGTGGATTTTTTTTTTTTTACTGCTGTATGCCCAGGTTATTGAGTACAAGCTCAATAAACACTTGGTAAATGGGAGAGAGAGAGAGATGGGGGGGGAGAGAGATGAAGAGAGAAAGAGAGAGAGGGAGGAAGGAAGGAAGGAAGGAAGGAAGGAAGGAAGGGAGGAAGGGAGGGAGGGAGGGAGGGCTTCACAGGCCAGCAAGATCAACCTCCCCTGAGAGCTTGTTAGATGCAAAGTCTAGATCCATTGCACACCTGCCAAGTCTGAATCTGTATTTGTAATGGGACCTGGGACCCTCCCTGTGCACTGGAAGGGGGGAGTGTCTGCCCCACCACCATATCTTGGGGCCACACCTGGTTGGGCATCCACCTTAGCAGAACAGCTGCTGATGCATCATCTCTAAGGTGTCATCTCCACACTCACAATCTTCACAAAATTCCACAAGGAATTCCAATATACAACAACAGGGTTACATCCTTGTGACAAGAGTTCCTGATGATGCCCCAAGGCTCCTGTTCTGAAGGAAAATGCCAGAAAAGCCCTGACCTGTGTGGCTCAGTTGGTTGGACATGTGAAAAGTCACAGGTTTGATTCCGGGTCAGAGCACATGCCTGGGTTTCGAGTTCAGCCCCAGCCTGTGTAGGTACGTGCAAGCCAATTGATGTTTCTCTCTCACATCAAGATTTTTCTCCCTCTCTTTCTTCCTACCTTCCATCTTCTCTACAAATAAATAAATAAAGTCATTTTAAAAAAGAAAAAGCTAGAAGAGATAAGAAGAGCCTGAGGGTGACACTACAGTGCACCAACGTGCAGCTGTGGGGAACGCCCCTCCCCACTGTCCCAGGCTTGTGCTCCTTCACACAGGTCGTGCCTGTGCACGCACGAGGGTTGGGGGATGGAGGGGTGGAGAATCACTGTGGGAAAGGGCAGAGGCCTCAGCCGGTCCCAGGGTCTGAAATCTAGATGGAAGATAAAGGGAAAGGAGGAAACAGGGAAGACGGAAACCAGAGGACACAGAGGGAGATACAGGGAGGGACCTGGGTACAAACCCCGCCCCTGGACCACGTGACTGGGGAGCGCTCCAGACCCTAAGCAGGCTCGCCACACCTGGAGAGGAACAGCAGATCGCACACTTCAGGTCAGCGGTGCCCGTGAGCATTTGTGGAATCCAAGCTCCTGTCACAGAGGGAGGGACAGAGCAGACAACAGACGCCATGGAGTCACGCTTAGCCACTACTGCCCGGCAAGGGCTCCTGCTGGCCTGTAAGGAGGGGCAATCCCTGGGGGTGGACAGGAGGATGGGGACAGAGACTGGCTGGGTCCCCTGGGGAGAACAGTGCTCTGAGAGGGCACAGAGGGCTTCTGTTTGGACCTGAGAAGAGAGGACAGGGAAGCAGAGTTGAATGGGGAGGGGGCTCAGCAACAGGGAAATCTCATGATCTGGAAGTGTGAGGGGCAGGAAAACCTGGACACAGTAGGTCTTAAAAGTTATTTATCATAATAGTAGTTATAATAGTAGCTAATAATTACAAACCATTTCCACTGTGTGTGGCATTTTGTTAAGGGTTTAGCCGATCATTACATTAAATATTTAAAGCAATACCATGAAACAGGTCCTCTTATTGTAACTTCCAGTTGTCGAATATGAGGCTCAGAGAAGTTAAGAATCTTGTGCAAGAAATTTGTAACTGTAAATGCTTATTTTACAAAAGAACAAAGATCTCAAATCATCACCCTAACTTTACAACTTAAGGAACTAAAAGAAGAACAAAATAAACTCAAAGCTAGCAGAAGGAAGGCAGTAATAAAGATTAGAATGCAGATAAATAAAATACAGAATGAGAAAAAAACAGTAATGAAAATTAATGAAACCAAAAGTTGGTTTATCAAAAAAAGCCTAACAAAATTGACAAACCTTTAACTAGATTGGCTAAGAAAAGAGAGAAGATTCAAATTACTAAAATCAGGAATGAGAGTGGGAATGTTACTACCAATTCTACAGAGCAAATAAGAGTTCTGATAGTACTATGAATGACTGTATGCCAACAAATTAGACAATTTAGGTGAAATAAACAAATTACTAGACACAAACCTTCCAAGATGGAATCACAATGAAGTAGAAAATATGAGTAGACCTATAAATAGTAAGGAGAAGAACTGGTATGAGCATTTGACAAAATTCAACTTCTTTTTTTTAATAAAAATACTCTAACTAGAAGTAGAAAGAAACTACCTCAACATTATAAAAGTCACTTATGAAAAAGCAGAAATAATTTCTGAAAACTGGTGAGAATAACAATTTATATCAGGGGTGACACCAGAAAAACTTAACCAGGGGCACTAAACGTCCGTATCACCAACCTCAGAAAGAAGCAAATACACCCCAGGAGGAGCAGGACCCTGGGACCACTCCCTCATTGCCCCACAGGTACCTGCAGCCTGTCTGAGGCACTGGGGGTGCAACAGGGTCAGACAAGCCCCTGCCTGCATGGAGCTCATGTTCTGTGGGGAGGAGAAGGACAAGGAAAAATCTGGATGTGATGTCAGGTACCCACAACTGCAACAAAAGGAAAAGAGTCAGGGCAGGTCAGAAAGTGAAGAAACAGGGTCATTAAAGGAGGTGGTCAGTGAAGGTGTCCCCTTGGACGCCCCTGGGTATCAGCAGGGGTCTGAGGGCAGTGAGGGGGTGAGCTGGGCAGACACCTGGGGAAGTTTTTGAAACAGAAGAAACAATAGGTTTAGAGGTGCTGAAGTAATGGTGGCCGTGCTATTGACCTTGACCATGGGAGACACAGGCAAATACATACATATGCTCACACTCATACATGCACTAAGGTTGAGAGATGAAGAGACCTACACAGGACCCAGGGCCTCATCTTCCCTCTCAACACATAGACCCGAAAACAGATTGGTTTCTCCTTCCCTCCTAGTCTCACTGTTAACCTTCAGGAGCCCGCCCAGCACTGCCCAACTCACTGTTGCATCGATCAATTCTACCGAAGGGAAGGATGTGCTTCTCCTTGTCCTCAATCTGCCTGAGAATCTTGTAGGCTATGCCTGGTACAGAGGGGAAAGTATGGACAACAACAGTGGAATTGCATCATATGTGATACACACTCAAGAATTTACCCCCGGACCTGCACACAGCGGTCGAGAGACAATATACCCCAATGGATCTCTGCTGTTCCAGAACATCACCTTGAAGGACACAGGATACTACACCATACAAGCCATTAAAAAAACTTTTCAGAATGAAGAAGCAAAGGGACACCTCTGTGTATACGGTGAGTGATTTCTCTCTGACCTCTGGGTGTCGGGTGGGATGAATTCTACTCACACACAGGACTGACAGCCCTGGACTCAGCTTCCATCCCCCTCTGCTTCACGTCCTGGGGGATGGTTGGACATTTAGTGCAGGACACACACAGTGAAGACAAACTTCCTAAGATCAGAGTCCCCTCCTGCATTCCAGCCTTGCACACATTTGCCACAGACAGAGTACCAGTCTGATGGGAGTAACTCAGCAGAAAGAGAACAGCCTCAGTCCAGTTTCCTGGACCTCTCCCCATGACCGTGACCCTGAGAAAGACCCTGCAGAGCTCAGACAGGGCCTGACCTGAGGGAGCACTTTGGGAACCTCACAGAGCTCAAAGTGGCAGTCCCCCCACAGACACCTGTCCTAGGGACCCTGGGGAGCCTGGGTCAGGCTGGTTTCATGTGTGGGCAGGGCTGACTGGGAGCCACAATTTCCCAGGTGCCTAAATCACAAGGCTCTTGAGCTGGTCACCAGCTCAGGTGACCAGGGCTCAGGTTCAAGAGCCACATCTGGGCACTGGTGGAACATGGCCCTTCACCTGAGACTATGAGTACAAAGCACATATAGACAAGGTCCCCAGGCCATTAGCTACCTGCCCTGGGGGACATAGGAGACTCCAGAGGAAGGTTAGCTTCCACAGGAGGAAACAGAGAAGATGCTGCTCACAGCCCCTCGTCCACAGGGGTCAGAACAGGGTGTCTCCTCTGTCAGGGACACAAACGGTCACAGAGGCTGTTAGCTGGGGCAGCTCCTCTGTTCCAAGCTTTAGGTCAGAAAATTGGGAAACAACTAAGGTTCATCCACTGACAACCTGGCAAGTCTGAGACCACTCGCCATCTACCCTGTTTTATTCAGGGGAACTGAGTTACAGGGGAGCATTCACACAGAGTCACACACACCAGGACTGTCCAGTCTGAATCACGCCAAGACCTGTCTGCAGTCACAGCCTATCCTTCCCTCCACTCCAAGGGCCTATCTCACATGTGCAGACCATGACACCAGCTGTTCCCTCAGAGCTTTTCTTCATAACCTTGGCCAGCTCAGAGGGAGAGATTCTGGCCTGGGGAGTGAAAGGAAATGGAGAATTAATCTATTTTCACTGCAGAACCAAAGTACTGCAGTGACAATCAGAGTCAGTGCTGGGAACACCCAGGCCTCCTCCTCAGCTGGCCGATCCACACCTCCCTGCCCTGGACTGAAATCCCTTCTTTGCTTCCTGATGTGTTGGTATCACTCCCACTGGACATGAAGGGAAGGACTTTGCCTCTCACTCCTCACTCCACACCTGCAACCAGCTCAGGGATCAGAACTCAATTGCTCCTTGGTGTAAGATAGGAGTGAAAGGTGGAAAAAAATGAATGAATATGAATGAATGATCCATAATCTGTAGAGACTGGAACCTGGATATAATCTTAGTAGGTTTTGGCAACACCTGTTCCCTGTCCCTCCAGGGGCAGAGAACCACGTTCCGTCCCTCTGACCACCTGCCCCTGAAGCCCCCTCAGGAGCCAAGTCTCACAGTGACTGTGGGGCTGCCCAGCTGCGAAAGGGACTTTCCAGGCTGCATGGGTCCAGCCCTGGGGCAGCCCTGGGCTCTTGGTACCTGGGATCTTTGAAGTCACCTGTAACCCCCACTGCTCACCAAAGATATTTCTGGCTCTTTCTGCTCCTTCCATGACTCTCCTCTGCCTCCTCCTTCACTCTAGCCCCACTGCCCTGCTCTGCTCTGCCTCCTCCACCCTGCAGGCTCCCTAGATTCTCCTCACACTTGTGTCCAGGTCCACCCTCCTAGGAAATAGGAAAGGACACACAAGTCAGTCAGAGCAGCAGCCCCGGCTCCACCAGGTTCCCAGGTCACCACGAGAAAGAGCCTCTGCTGTGCCCCATCCAGGGCTCCTTCCCTCCCTCATGCCAAGAAGAGGAACAGGTCACCTGACAAGGACATGTAACCCATTGATCTACTCTCTGTGTGACTCAGCCAGGGAGTCAAAGGCAGAAGGACAGGCCTCAGTCCCCAAAAGCTCATGGGATCACTTCACCCCTGACTCGTGACTCACATCCATGTGGTGGGAGGCTACCATTCCTCCCAGGGACCTGGAGATATTCCCAAGGTGGGCTGGTAACCCTGCACCATCTGACTGGTTCACTGCCTGTGTCACACACATGTGTCCTCATGATGGCACCTTTGCCATGGGGTAGGACCCTCTCAGACAGGGAGGTGCATCTACCTCTGTCCTTTCTCTTAGATGCTGTCCAAATTGAATTAATTTGATCAAAGCTCAGTTCTGTTTCCTGGGTTAGGTGGGGGCTCCTCCCACTAGCCTGACTGTCCACACAAACTGGTGACAGGGACCTTCTTCCCACAGGTACTAACACAACACGAATCTTTTCTACCAGTTTGCTGTCATCCCTCCCTTTATACAACAGAGATGCCGACCCATGCCCTCTGGTCACTCTGTCCCCTTAGCAGGACTCACAGTCTCTCTCTCCCCAGGGAGGCACTGACTTCACACTCACTGCGGCATCTTCCTTTGGTCACAGCGTGTCCTGGTTGGGCTCAGAACTTGGTCTGTGACCTTCAGTGTTCTCTAGACAGAGAGATTCCTTCCGAGACTGGCCTTAGATCTTTGGGGCATAATAATAGTTTTCACATGGTCTTCCACAATTTAACTCAAAGTTCTGTCTCATAATGCCAAACACAAATGGTCCATGAAGGCCATAGTTTCAGCAAGTCCCAGCTCCCCACTTCCCACAAGTCCCCCCTTCTGTAGTTGCTGTCACCTGAGTGTTAGAGGAAGGGTCCTGCCCGCTGCAGGGGAGAGAGGACAGTAAAGGCAGAGGGCAGAGAGCCTGGTTCCACTGCCAAAGCCAGCTCCTGTGTTCCTCACTCCCATCTCAATCACTCCTGGACTCTGCTCTACCCCTTATGGGGTCACTGTCTCATGTCAGTTGTAAATGAAACAGTCACCAGTCCTGGGCACACTGCTTGCCTCATGGCCCTGCATTCTGAGTCCTGAACTGATCCCAGACTTGCTCCTGGTGTTCCCATGTTTTGTTTCTGCTCAACCACCCAGTCCCAGGCCACACTGCCCAGTCTTCTCAGGGTGTTAGCACTGTGGGATGGCCCTTCATGACTCGTCTCTAGGATAAACCTGGAATGTGAGTCTTTAGTGGAAACACATCTCAACTCAGCAATGTGGGTCTGTGCAGCTTGAAGGGACTCAGCACCTGGGCATCCCAGGTGAGGCACCAAGGTTGGTCAGGCAGTCAGTCATCTGGTCAGTAAAGAACCAGGACAGGTGCCCAGTGGTCTCTTTCTCCCAAGGGTGTGTCTTTCCATGATCAATCCCTGATACTTCACTGACACCTGAGACAGTCTGCGCTTTCTCCCAGACACAGCGCTGGAGGCCTTACCTTCTCTGAGCGCTCAGGTACTCATGTTGTTGTGTGATAGACAGACCTGCCTGGTTCTTTTAAAAACTTAGGTTGACTGAGCAGTGAGAGGTGAGAGGTAAGAGGTGTCAACCCTGATTGAAGATGCCTTTGGAGGAATCCAAGGTACCACCCAGGGCAATGTTCTCTCTGTTACCTGCACAGCGGAGTTACCCAGACCCAGCATCACAAACAACAACTCCAACCCCGAGGAGCACAAGGCCTCTGTCCTGTTAATGTGTGAACCTCACACTCAGGACACCACCTACCTGTGGCTGATCAACAGTCAGAGCCTCCAGGACAGCACCAGGCTGGAGCTGTCCAAGGACAACAGGACTCTCACTTTGCTCCATGTCACAAGGACTGACACAGGACCCTATGAGTGTGAAACCCGGAACCCAGTGAGTGCCGGCCGCAGTGATCCCTTCACTCTGAATGTTTTCTGAGAGTAACTTCTGTCCCTGTATGGTCCAGGGAACCACCTGAATCCACACACCAGAGGCCATGCTACATCCCACTCTTCCCAAGGGCACAGACCCTCACTCGGGACACCCAGGGGAGCAAGATTTTCTTTCTTAGACAAATCTGGTGTTGCATCCAGGTTTGAGACAAAGAGGTTAATGTCCCAGACTCAAACTCAGTGAACACAGAGGTTATGGTTGGAACTTTTTTGCCATCACCATTTATCTCCTCTATACCCTCTCCTACCTTCAACCACCCTCTCCACCCTGGAATCACCACACTATAGTCTAGGTCCATGAGTTTTCTCACTCTTTTTTTTCTCAGTGCCCCACCCAAACCCCCAAAGCTCTCAGTCTGCTCTCTACATGTCATTCTGTCTGGTTGGAACTTTTTAAAACAAGGATGTGACCCAGCTCAGAGGGACACTGTGGCCCTTACACAGGCCAGGAGTTTCCCCTTTCATCTGATGACATCATGTATGGCTTTGCTCTGTTTGCTCCAGATGGCCCAGATGTTCCCTCCACTTCCCCCTCAGACCCCCATTACCCACCGGGGGCAAACCTCAGACTCTCCTGCCACACAGCCTCTAACCCACCTGCACAGTATTCTTGGTTTATCAATGGGAGACCCCAGCAACCTACACAGGAGCTCTTTATCCCCAGCATCACTGCAAGTGACAGTGGATCCTATACCCGCCTTGCCCATAACTCTGTCACTGGCCTCAATAGGACCACAGTCAAGAATACCACAGTGTCTGGTAAGTGCCTCCTAGACCATCAGCACCAAGATCTGGGGTGGAGGTCTGTCTGGTTTTCAGAAAAGAGCTCGGATATTGTCTCCATCATGTAGCAAATCACAGACTCTTCCCCAGAACCCTTCCCCACCTCTCTGTAGTCTCTCTCCTCCCCTTGCTCTTCTGATTTCTCATGGCATTGCTGGGGTCCAGCCTTGGAAATGAGGCAGGGGGTTCTCTCAGCCTCAGAAAAGCCCCATGTTGTAGAGGGGGCCGCACAGAGGGGGAAAGCAAGGGGCCTCATGGTCAGGTTGCTTCTTCTGTCACTAACACATTCCTCTTGTCACTTCCTTCTTTTCTGTGACCCACTCCATGTGCTCCAGGGAACATATGAGGCTTTGAGTCAAGCTCACCTCTTCCTCCCCAAACGAAAGGGTGAAACCCCCTCCAAGAAGGGTGAGCAGGACAGTCCCCTGCTCCCTGCTCTGCTCCAGGCTCACCTGGTGCCTGACTCTGCTGCCCCCTGTGCTGGGACAGGACCCGTGGAGTAGTTGCATGGGCAGCCTGTCCTCAATCTGGCCAAAATGTGCCACTATGGACACCAGACTCTCCCTCCAGCCAGGCTGCTGGAAGCAACCATAGTGTAGCCCCCTCTGGGCTGTGTCCTGGCTCTGAGGTCACCAGCTGTATAACACCAGCATGTGTGATGTTGCAGAGGAAAACAGTGAGTGATGGTGCTTACCTGACAAATAGGTAGATTCCTCCATGAAGTCCCTTCATACTACAGAAGGGGCAGTGCCACAAAGCTTATGATCTATGGAGAAGGCTGAGAGTCCCAGCCTTTGTTAAACTGTGAGTACTTCTCTCTAGAGATTTTCTTTTGTGTGTTATTCATTCAATCCACAGGCCAGGAAGTGAAGTCCTATTCACATTGAAAAATCTTTTAGATTAGAATTTCTCCAGGTCCTAAGGTCATAACTGGTTGGGCTGTTCTCATTATCTTATAAATTATTTAATAAAAAGAAGATGACTTCCATCTCTGTGCATAATCACCATACTAGAGAGGGGGTTTGATCTTTTACGAAGTCACAGAGAGCTCTAGGAAAGAGTCACACAAAAACCAATGGGTAGGCCCTGGCTGGTGTGGCTCAGTGGATTGAGTGCCAGACTGTGAACCCAAGAGTCATCATGTTGATTCCCAGTCAGGGCACATGCCTGGGTTGTGGGCCAGGTCCCCAGTGGTGGGTGCTCGAGAGGCAAACACACATTGATGTTTCTCTACTTCTCTTCCTCCTTCCTTTCCCCTCTCTGTAATAATAAATAAAATCTTTTTTTAAAAAAGCAGTGGGTGAAAAATTCCACCTAATGATGAGGATGCTGAACACATGGGCTGAGAACAGGTTCCTGGTGCTGATTCTACAGGTGTGCAGGGGGAGAGGTCAGGGCTCATCCTGGGGTGATCTGGTATCAGAGGGAGAGACATAGACCTCTCTTTACATATTGCCACCTGAACAAAGATGCTGGTCCTCCTTCAGAGATTAGGGCCATCCTCTGGTGACCATATCAGAGCTCCCTGGGGACTGATTCACTAAGGTTCTGAGGAAGGAACCTGCTATCAGTCAGTCACCTTCTCGTTTCTCCACAGAGCCCGTGCGGAAGCCCTCCATCCGAGCCAGGAACACCGCCGTCATAGAACATAAGGACACCGTGGTGCTGACCTGCCTCACAAATGACACTGGGATCCGCACTCGGTGGTTCTTCAGGGACCAGAGTCTCCTGCTCACAGAGAGAATGAAGTTGTCCCGGGACAACAGCACCCTAATCATAGAGCCCGTCAGGAGGGAGGATGCCGGGGGTTATCAGTGTGAGGTCTCCAACCCCGTCAGTGCCAGCAAAAGTGACCCCTTCAGGCTGGGCGTACAATGTAAGTGACCCCTGGCCCCATCCTCCACCTTCCTGGGATGATTGCTCTACCAATGGTGTGCGAAATGGAGAGAAGTCACAGGGGGCAGAAGGTCAATCAGGAGAGCATTACAGAATGGCAAAGTGGTTAAGAGTTCAGTCTCTGAATCACACATACTTAGTTTCTTATCCTGAGTCTGGAATTCAAGGTGCCTTCACAAGGTGGTTTCATTACCATTTTTATGTGGTAAAATATACATAAAATTTACCATTTTAACTATTTTAAGTGCACAGTTCAGTCGTATTAGTACATTCATATCAATGGTTATGCAACTATCACCACTATGTATTTCCAGAATGTTTCATCTTACCACACTAAAACTCTGTACCCACTAACTCCTCACTCCACCACTGCCAACCCCTGGAAACCAGCATTCTTCTGTCCCTATGAATGTGACTGTTCAAGGTACTTCATACAAGTGGAATCATATGATATTTGTCCTTCTGTGTCTAGCTTATTTCACTTATCATGATGTCTTCAAGGTGCATCATGTTATGCATATATCACAATTTCATTCCTTTTTAAGGCTGAGTAATATTTCCTTGGCTGTGTCCATCATGTTTCATTTATCATTCATCCATCCTTAAACTTCTGGGTTGTTTCTACCTTTTTCCTCTAATAAGTAATGCTTTTATGAACAAGGATGTACCAATATCTGTTCAAATTCCTGCTTTCAATTCTTTTGAGTATATACCCAGAAGGGGAATTGCTGGATTAAATAGCAAGTCTTTGTTCAATTGTTTTATCAACTACCATGCTATTTTCCACAGTGGCTGCACCATTTTATATTCCTTCTGGCAATGCACAGAAGTTTCCATTTTTTCCTGTCATTGCCAATGCACTGTTTTCTGCATTTGTCTGTTTGTTTAGTAATAACCATATTAATGGGTGTGAGGAGGTATCTCGTTGTGATTTTGCTTTGCATTTCCCTAATAATGAGTGATGCTGAGCATCTGTCCATGTGCTTATATTCCATTTGTATGTCTTTGAAAAAAATGAATATTCAATTACCCTGGCCAATTTTTAATTGGATTTGTTTGTTGTTGAGTTCTAATTGTTATTTACATATTCTGGATATAATCCCTTATCAGGTATTTGACTTTCAAATATTTTGTCCTATTCTGTGTGTTGTCTTTTTATTTTGTTGACAATGTCCTTTGATGCACAGAAGCTTTTAACTTGATCAAGTCCAGTTTACCTATTTTTTCCTTTGATGTCTGTGTGCTTGGTTTCCTATTCCAGAAATCATTACCAAAGCCAATGTCATAAAGCTTTCACCCAGTGTTCTCTTCTGAGAGTTTTTTAGATTTAGCTCTTACATTTGGATCTTTGATCCATTGTGAGCTAATTTTTTGTATAGTGTTAACTAAGAAATCAAATTAATTCTTTTGGTGGATATGCAGTTTCCCCAGTACCATTTCTTTTATTTTTTAAGATTTCATTGATTTATTTTTAGAGAGAGGGGAAGGGAAGGAGAAAGAGAGGGAGAGAAACATCACTGTGTGGTTGCCTCTTGCACATCCTTTGCTGGGGACCTGGCCTGCAACCCAGACGTGTGCCCTGATCAGAAATCGAACTGCAATCCTTTGGTTTGCAGGCCCATTCTCACTCCACTGAGCTACCACCAGCCAGGCTCCTTTTCTTGAGAAGACTGTCCTTTCTCTGTTGGATGGTCTTGGTACCCTTGTCAAAATCATCTGACCATATATATGAGGGTTTATTTATGGGCTTTCCTTTATTTTTCTTTAAATTATTTATTTAGAAAGAAGGGAAGGGCAGGAGAAAGAGAGGGAGAAAAACATCAGTGTGTGGTTTCCTCTCACACAACCCCAATCAGGGACCTGGCCCACAACCCAGGTATGTGCCCTGACTGGGAATCAAAGTGGTGATCCTTTGGTTTGCAGGCCAGCGCTCAATCCACTGAGCCACACTAGCCTACAAACCAAAGGGTCGCTGGTTTGATTCCCAGTCAGGGCACATGCCTGAGTTTCAGGCCAGATCCACAGCAGGGGGGCATTAGAGAGGCAACCACACATTGATGTTTCTCTACCTCTCTTTCTCCTTCCCTTCCCTTCTCTTCTCTCTCTCTCTTAAAAAAATCAATTAATTAAAAAATAAAGGAAAGCCCAGAAATAAACCCTCACATACGGCTTTCTATTCCATTGGTCTATATATCTGTCTTTATGCTAGTACCATACTGTTTTACTTACTGTAGTTTTGTAGTAAATTTTGAAATCAGGAAGAATTGAATCCTCCAACTTTGTTTTTCTTTATCCAGATTGTATCAACTATTTGGGGCCTATTGAAATTCCATGTGAATTTTAGGATAGATTTTACTATTATTGTCCCAAAAGAGTCATTGGGATATTGATAGGGACTGCATTGAACCTGTAGGTCACTTTGGGCAGTATTGTCATCCTAACAATATTGTCTGCCAATCCATGAACACAGAATGTCTTCCCATTTATTTGTGTCTTTAAGTTTTTTCACCAGTGGTATTTCTAGTTATTCAGTATATAAGACTTTTACCTCCCTGTTTAAGTTAATCCCTGTTTAAGTTAATTTATTTTATTTTAAAGAATAAAAGTATTTTATTCTTTATAATGCTACTATAAATGGAATTTTCTTAATTTCCTTCCTGAATTGTTTATTGTTGATGTATACAAACACAACTGGTTTTTACATGTCGGTTTAGTATCCTACAGCTTTCCTGCATTTGTTGATTAGTTTTAACAGTTTTTTGTGGGATTATTAGTGCATTCTACATATAAGTCCATGTCATATGCAAACAGAGGTAGTTTTACATCTTCCTTTCCAACTTGGATGCCTTTTATTTCTTTTTCTTACCTAATTACTGGCTAAAATTTCCAATACTGTTTGGGAAAAAAATAGCAAAATCAGAGATCATTGTCTTCTGCCTGATCTTAGGAAAAAACTTTTAGTCTTTCACAATTGAGAATGGTGTTAGCTGTGGGTTTTTTCATAATTTATCTGTATAATATTAAGGTAGTTTCTTTCCATTTCTAGATTGTTTTTATTTTTTCTAAAAATGTTGAATTTTGTCAAATGCTCATACCAATTCTTCTCCTTACTATTTATAGGCCTACTCATATTTTCTACTTCATTGTGATTCCATCTTGGAAGGTTTGTGTCTAGTAATTTGTTTATTTCACCTAAATTGTCTAATTTGTTGGCATACAGTCATTCATAGTACTATCAGAACTCTTATTTGCTCTGTAGAATTGGTAGTAACATTCCCACTCTCATTCCTGATTTTAGTAATTTGAATCTTCTCTCTTTTTTCTTAGCCAATCTAGTTAAAGGTTTGTCAATTTTGTTAGGCTTTTTTGATAAACCAACTTTTGGTTTCATTAATTTTCATTACTGTTTTTTCTCATTCTGTATTTTATTTATCTGCATTCTAATCTTTATTACTGCCTTCCTTCTGCTAGCTTTGAGTTTATTTTGTTCTTCTTTCTTTAGTTCCTTAAGTTGTAAAGTTAGAGTGATGATTTGAGATCTTTGTTCTTTTGTAAAATAAGCATTTACAGTTACAAATTTCTTGCACACGATTCTTAATTTCTCTGAGCCTTATATTCAACAACTGGAAGTTACAATAAGAGGAGCTATTTCATGGTATTGCTTTAAATATTTAATGTAATGATCGGCTAAACCCTTAACAAAATGCCACACACAGTGGAAATGGTCTATAAGTTTTAGCTACTATTATTACTACTATCATCATTAGCCTCTATGAAGTCTGGTAGCCCTAAAGTCAAATCCCAGATCCACCTCAAACTAGTCATATGACTTTTGGAAATTTTTCACCACTGTAAAGCCTCTACTTTTCATCAGTAAAGTAAAATAATATCTATCAGACAGGGTTATTATATAAATCAAATGAGATACAAGTAAAGGATTTAGCACAGATCCTGGCACATAGTAAGCATCCCCTAACAGTAGCCAACATGAATATTAGTCATCAAGCTTGAGTTCACTAGTGAGAGCAACAGAAATAAAAAGAACAAATGAAAAGTGATTTATGTTTGGGGGAGTAGGAGGCACATTAGCACAAAATTCACTGGGACATGGTCACTGACTAAATACAGGAAAAGAAAAAAGGAGTTGAGTGCAATTTCAAGCCTAGTTTGTTAGTTTTCATCCCCTGAGGTACAGCCAACATAAGATTAGACATGCAGAGTATTTATTGGAAAAAATGCCTGTGAGGGAAAGTGGGATGGAAGTGGGAGGAGCCTGGCAGGTTCCTCAGACCACAGTGCAGATCTGACTCCTGTGAAGGAGAAAGAGAAGACAGTGTTGGGTTGCAGTGTGGTTCTAAGAGAGAGTCTGCAAGGCTGACAGGGAGACCCTGAGCTAAAGTTGCCCATGCGAGGAAGAATTGAGCTTATTTCATGTACCTGCTGGTGAGAAGTGTGGTCTCTGTGCAAAGGAGGTGGTTAACGCACCACTTTCTGTCACTTAAGTGCCCCCCACAGGAGACCTGAGTGGCACATGTTCATGGCTGCCATAGCTGGTACACAGGAAACATGCAACCATGAAAAGGTGGGAAGTGATAACCCACAAAAATGGCAATCAGCCTTTCTCACATTTCCAAAGCTCTAAAAATATTTTTAAAATGAGTGCAGAAAGGCCAGGCTGGAATTGAGGCAAGTCTGACCACCAATCTAGAAACACAGTGAGAGAAAAAAAAATACAAAGATGTAGTCACCTACTGACAACACAAAAACCTTCCCACAGAAAATGTACTCCTAGGAGGAAGAAAGTACAGACTTCTTCATGCTGAGACTTATTTTTCAGGGCACCCCACTGTAAAATAATGTTACCTTCATTCATTCTTCCCTTTTCATGACAGATGTTTCAACATCACCAAGTCCTGGCATCTCAGGTGGGGCCATTGCCGGCATCATGATTGGGGTCCTGGCGGCGGTAGCTCTGACAGCAGCCCTGGTGTACTTTCTGTATATCAGGAAGACTGGAGGGTATGATGGCCTTTCCTCTTGCCCCATGTTCTCCAAAGCTAACCTCTGTGCTTGGGAGGGAAATGGAGACTTCCTGTCTGTCTATGGGCTTGGATCTGCTCCTCTTCCTTTCTATCCTTTTGGTTCTGAGTACTAATCCCTGCAGCCTCTTCTTCCCTGGTCTTCAAGCTCCCTGTGCCCCATTCTCTCCAGCACACACTTACTGTCATCACCATGTGGCTTAGAGGGGGCAGATCTCATTATGTTCCTTTGTCCTCCAGTCAGGAAACCAAGGTCCAAGAAGGGAAACAAATGAAAATATGAAAAGAGGAGGTGAAAGTGAGTTGTGTGCTCTGTCACCCACAGGAAGAGAAAGAGAAGAGAGGGACAGGACAGCACCAGAACCTAAGAAAAAGCAAAAACTAAAGGCCTCTTGGGCAATAAATAAAGTGAGAATAAAAATAGCATCTACCTGCAAAAGAGAAAGGTGCAGGGTAGAAGCAGGCTCAGAAGCAGTTGATAAAGAAGGGACCTATGTGAACGTCAGGCCAGCAGGAAAGGGGTGCTCACTAGAGGGGATGGCAGATGGTTGGTACATTGAGGAAGAGGCACTAGGAAGAAAGGCAGTACTGACCCTCGTATAGATGAGCACTAATGAGCCCTCACCCAAGGAATTATCTGCTGACAGTGTCCTTCCTACTTCAAGGAGAAAAGATACTATGCTTGGGAATAGCAGTCACAGTCTCTGATATTTATTTAGGGCAAACAAACAGAGCAATCTCACAGAACACAAACCCTCAGCCTCCAACCACAGTAAGTAAAGCCACTGCTCAGTGAGAATTGGTGTGTTCCACCATGTGCCCTGCCCTAGCAGGGAATCCTAGATTCTCACATACCCAGTACCTTCTGAATTTTTAGAAGGGATCTCCATTTCTCAACCTTAGATTGCAGTAGGCCCTCACACCCTTCTAGCCACAAAAAATTCCCCTGAGACCCAGTCCTGGGTGAGACTCAGCCATCCAGGCAGGTCTGGGTAAGATGGACATGTTTCCAGGAGCCATTCCCACCTTCCCCCATCCCCCCTTGCCTCTACTATGAATACGGGCACTCTCCTTTTGCGAGACTTTTGCTGTCTTATGGTGCTGTGGGTATTGTGGGTCTCAATGCCCCTCCTTGCCACTGGTGCCTGGTGCTGAGGAACACATCTGGGCAAAAAGCAAGTCCTTGTGAACTGGAATAAATCTTCAGAAGCAGACTGAGGCCTCTGTGGCTCTCCTCCTGCCCACCAGTTGGTACTAACACCCTGAGTCTGGACCACACAGGCTCTGAGGGAAACACATTCCTTAAGTGATCATGAGATCCCTCCCCACCCACCTTTCTCAACACCTGCCACTTCCTTCAGCTAGAAATCAAACAGCCTAGGAACACCATGGCTGGAAGGCCATTAGTCATCTTTGCATTTTCATGGATTGGTGACTCTTCTTTTATTTCCCCAAAACAGGTTCACTCTGACAACTCACCTTACAAGGTAAGCATAGCCAGTGTCGCTGGCTCATTTTCTCATGGAAATACCTCTGTGTAAAGTGGGTTACTCCTGATGACACATGTGATCAAATTTGGGTCTAAGTTCCTCAATGCAGCAATGAACGAAGATGTATTGGTTAACTACTCCCCCGGTCCACCTCGTGCATGAACATAGGCTCTGGAGTTATCCCTCTCCTGTGTTGGAATCCTGGTGTGACTCTTTAGATAGTAGCTCTGTTACAGAATGGACCTATGGGGTGAGGCCCAGATACAGGGTCTCTCTGTCACTGTGGGTTTTCCTAACACTGCCACCAGGTGTCAGGAATTATGGCTCTTAGTGCCAGAGTTTGGTAAAAAGGAACTATTTATTGAAAAGTTATATAGATTTAGAGTAATGGCACAATGTCACCATTAAAAATTTCAAAGTCCCTTGAAACACCCAGAAACACACACAGTCCTTTTCTCCCCCTTTGCCCAGTCAGGCCAGTCAGGGGTACCGTATCTCAGGAAAAAATAGAAGTGTGTAGCTCAGCTAGAGTGCCAGTTCCTCCCAGTAATCCATGCTCGGCTGGCAGGCCTCCCACGGTTCCCAGCACCATCAGCTGTGTTGCCACGAAAATCTCCAGTTCTTAACCCAAAACCACGTGGCACCTCCTCATCCCCACCAGCAAGAGTCTTTTCTCACCCTTTTCCTCCCATGAGGTCCCACATTCTTCTGAACTGCTGAGAGCTCTGCATGGCTGCTTCATCTTACTCTCCTGCTTCCTAAGCCACAGAGTTCAAGTGAGCCCCCTCTCTGCCCCCAAAACCCACATGGTTAGACCCTGCATGGCTGCCGCACCTGGGTTTAAATCCCGGTGTGAATCTTCCTCTGCATCCCCATTCTGACTCCTCCCACAACTGGCTACACCTGCCAGCACTCCTGCATTTTTCAGCCTTTCCTGGCTGCCATAAGTAAGTCTGGGCAGGTGTGGACCCATGACATGGAGCCAACCATCACCTAGGTCTTATACAGGCACTGGAAGGGGAGCCACCTCCCAGTTACAACACAAGTCAAAGTTATGCATATCTCCCTAGTTAGACTTGTTGATATGCAAAATAACCATTTTTGCATATCATGTATGAAGCTGGCCAGCTGTTGATCTGCGAAATAACTCTCAATGGCCCTGCTCCATGTGTACCATCCCCCAGTCCAACTTGTGGGGGTGGGATAGTCTATATTTTTACATTTCCCAGACACCTCGAGTTCTGTACCCCATTTCAAATCCTTTGGGGGGCCTTGGCTGCACCCCGTTACAGCTCTGTGACCTTGGGCAGGTAACTTAGCCTCATTGATCCTCCGCTTTGTCATCTGTAAAATGGACATGCTGCCTACATAAGAGAGAAGTTGGAGGAATCAAAGGAGATAAAAAATGCAAAGCACCCACACATGCCTGGCACAAGAGGATGGCACTGGGTCATTCTCCCTGCTCCACCTTCAAAGAGTAGCCACTATCCCGACTTCCAAGGCACTACATTAGTTTTGCCAGTTTGTGATGTTACATTGAAAAACTTCTTATATGTGCCTGGTTCCTTTCATTCAGAATGGCTTGTGAGATCCATCCATGTGGTTGTATGCATTTACAGTTGCTCATTCCCATTGCTGTGTCATTGTATTCGTATCAGTGCCATAGTCTGTCTCTTCGAATGACCATTCAAAGGATGCCAGCAAGCAGAAAGAATGGGTGATAAAAGCCATTCTCCACAGCTAGGAGTTTCAGAGTGGTGAGAGCAGGGATGCTCAGTCACACCAGACCAGGTGAGGGCCTTACCTGCAACACTGATTTAATTGACTGCTGCTCATGCCTTTCAGATCCATGAATTTGAAAAATCTTCCCTTGACTTCAACGCCCAAGAATTAAAGAAACCACCTTCAGCCTCCCCATTCCCAAGAGCCACAGAAACGGTTTCTTCAAAAGTGAAAAAAGAAGTAATACAACCTGCCCTGCTCACTGCACTGCTGGCTTATCCCAAGCTTCTCATCCCTATAACCAGGATATCCCTTTACCCTCAGGGAAAGAGAGAAGTCTCTTTTCCCCACCCTCATTTCACACACTTTGAGACAGCTCAAGGCTCCTGGTCACAGCCCCTCCCTTCATTGTCTACATATGAAAAGGCACATCCAGGTTCTATAACAAGCCCAACCTACCTTGTCATTGAAATTTGGCTCTTTAACATGTACTACAATCAACAAAGTCTAAGATGGTTCTTTAAAAAGTGAACATCTGTTGATTAGGTTCCTGTTAAAGGTGAGATCATATGGTATTTGTCTTTCACTGCCTGGCTTATTTTGCTTAGCATAATGCTTTCCAGTTCCATCCATGCTGTTGCAAAGGGTAAGAGCTCCTCCTTTCTTTCTGCTGCATAGAATTCCATTGTGTAAATGTACCATAGTTTTTTGATCCCTTCATTTACTGATGGGCACCTAGGTTGCTTCCAGCACTTGGCTATTGTAAATTGTGCTGCTATGAACATTGGGGTGCATAGGTTCTTTTGTATTGGTGTTTCAGGATTCTTAGGATATAATCCTAGCAGTGGAATTGCCGAGTAAAAAGGCAGATCCATTTTCAGTTTTCTGAGGAAAGTCAATACTGTTTTCCATAGTGGTTGCACCAGTCTGCAATCCCACCAACAGTGCACTAGGGTTCCCTTTTCTCAAATCAACAAAGCAAACAAACAAGCAAAATATAACCAAAGACACTGAAATAGAGAACAGGCTGACAGTGACCAGAAGGGAGAGAATTACAGGGGAAAAAGGGAAGGGTTTGCAGAAACAAATATAAGGGACACGTGGAACAATAATGGGGGTGGGAGTGGAAATGGGAAGGAGGTGGGGAGGGCTGGGGGGTTGGGCTGCGGTGGGGGAAAAAGAAAACTGTACTTGAACAACAATTAACAATAAAATACAAAAAGAATGGTAGTAGAAAGAAAAAATACTTGCAAATAAAATAAATTGGGCTTGAATGAAAAAAAAAGTGAACATCTGGCCGAATTATTAAGAAAAAAAATGAAGCCCTGGCTGGCATAGCTCAGTGGATTGAGCACGGGCTGTGAACCAAAGTATCGCAGGTTCGATTCCCAGCCAGGGTACATGCCTGGGTTGCAGGCCATGGCCCCCAGCAACCACACATTGATGTTTTTCTCTCTTTCTCCCTCCCTTTCTTCTCTAAAAATAAATAAATAAATAAATCTTTTAAAAAAAAGAAAGAAAAAATGAGGACAGGCACAATAAGCACTATAAGGTGCAAAATAGAAAACAATGCCATACAGTAGTCCATTAGGAACATTCTAATTGCAAATATTTGAAAAGTTACGTAAAATGAATAAATTCCTAGAAAAATAAAATGAAACCAGAATGGAGTCAAGAAGAAAGAAATGTATGAGCAGTCCTATTAACAAATAAAGAAATTGAGTTAATATTTTTTATCCTTCCAATAAAGATACACATGATCTAAATTACTTGACAGGGAATATTCCAAGCATTCAAGGAACCATGAAGTCTAATCTGACACATAATCTTACAGAAAATAGAAAAGGGACAACACTTCCCCAGCTCTTAGAGTGTGATGAGTATAATCTTGAGCAACCCCCCACCAAGAAAAACAGAGCAAACTCAGAAAGGAAAATGACAGGCTAATGTCAGCATATGCAAACATCCTCCATGAACATTAGCAATAATTCAGCAATGAATGGAAAAGGTAATGTGCATGAAATGTGGTTTTATAGTTTTATTTAAAAAAAAGACAGTTCATTTACCAATAGAAAGATCACTTTCATTCACAGCAATAAAGGTTTAAAGGAGAAAAACCATATAAATTTTGTAAAAGAATGCTTTCAACAGAAAAGTCCACCTAACATTCAGCCTCTGTTACATTAAAAACTCAATAAACCAGAAACAAAAGGAACTTCCTTAATCTAATGAAAAGTGTCTACAAAATGCTACAGCACAGGTATGTCTGCAGACCGGGTGGCCAGACAGCTGGCCACCATCACCACTTTTAACCGTGCAGGGGGTGCTCACCATGCAGTAAGACAAAACAGTAAAATAGAAGGTCTGAGAACCAAAAGAAAAAAAATGTTAAAATATAAAGACGGTATTGTTTCCCATAGAGGAAACTAAAAAGAATCTGACCATAATTATCAGAATTAATGTTGGAATTTACCAGACATGTGACCTATAATGACACTCAATGACATCGCTTTATGCAGCAAATGCATTTTTTGGAAAAGGTTATATTTGTAACAGCAATATAGAAATAAACAAGGCCTTCATGTATGAGGTCTTTATTTAGAAAAACAGGAAAGTTGGCTGAAAGACTTTCAGCCATAACTGAGAGATGATAAATAACAGGTGAACAAAGAGATACTCTATATTTGCATCAATGGGGGGATACGGTGTGATAAAAATCTCCATTCTCCCCAAGTTATCTACAAAATTATAAGTTTCCAGATCAAATTCTAGTTGTTCCCTTTTAACTTGAGAAGCCAGTCCTAAAATTAAACAGCAGAACAAAGGGCCCTGAGGAAGAGTCACAGGTAGCAACTGCCCTACGAAATGTCAAGGAGCATTGTCACTGTGCTCTCTGAGACAGAGTGCTGTGGGGACCCTTGGGCCTGTGCAAAATTGAGAACTCACCCCCTCCGCCCCCCCAACACAAACTTTATAACCGAGGTGGAATTACAGATAAGTTGAAAAAGGAAAACACTTTCATTAATGATTCTGGAAATATGGGTCACATACATGTTCACACACGGTCTTGGGAAAGTATCCTAAATTCAGTAGAAAATGCACTAAGCATAAAGGGATACATTCTACCATATTAAAACGGACATCTATTTATGAAAGGGCACTATAAAGCAGTAAAAAATACAAGCCCCAAACTGGGAAAAGAGACATGCAGTGCAGACCCTGAGGAAGACTAGTATCCAGAGGTAATGAAGGAGCCTCCAAAGCAGCAGGGAGAGGACCGCCCCTCAGAATGAGGAGGAAGGCACACCCAGGGGTGTGTGTCTGCATGCGACAGCAGACAGGTGTGCAGCGAGGTGCTATTGGTGGCAGTGCTCATTCAGCATGAAGACAAAGACACCTGAAGTGTATACAAATAGCCGATTTGAGAGAAATAAAATGTGGTCAGTTACCTCTGTTGGAGCCTATACAGTAACAAGTGGACAAAGGCCCATCAGCCATGAACAACCACCAGCGTGGACCTTGAGAACATAATTTTGACTGAACAAAGCAAGTAGCAGAAAATTCAGTGTAATTTCACTTGTATGAAGTTCCAAAAGACTGAAAATAAAATACATGGTTTTTCAGGGTACAGCACGTGGTTGAAAGGTAAGACAGGAAGGGCAGGGGGCTGCTGTGCTTACTGCTGTGGGGCGGTGGGCTGGGGGCAGGGTGGATTGGCGCACTGGGTGGATGGGAGGTGGCGCTCCTTGTCCTTACACTGGACAAGACACACGGTGCGTTTTTAATAAAGTTGTTGCCCTCCTTGCCCTGTGCAGACATTATAAATAACTCTCTTGAATGTATTCAATATGGAAATAAAAGTAGTGCTTAATTTTAGTGTCCTTCTTTTTAAGGAAAAAAATAAAGCTCCAATATAGACAGACATACCAGCACAGAGCAGTCCTTTACCATATATCCTTGATAATCAACTGAGTCCTTAGTAAATAGGACTTCACAACCAAAAAGCGTAACACATTTGAGAACCATTCATAATAAAATGAAAGAGAGGCAATGAAGGAGAAAACCAAGACACACACGTGGTGAGGACATCCAGTGTAGTCAAGGTGTGGAACAAGGGGATGGTAAACCGATGAACCCATGACCCGGGGCGGGGGGTGGGGGAGAGCTTCATTTAATAGTTCAGAGCCCTGACCATTGACTCAGTAGGCACCCCTGTGAGCAGAACAAGGAACAGTTCCCAGAAATTAAAAATGCACACAGGATAATTCGTGCAATTGCTGAATAATTGGAAAGTCATTGCCAAAAGACCAACCGAATGATCTGGAAGATGCAACCGAGGAAACCAGCCCCAGCATGAGGGGAAAGTCAGAGCCCGGAAGTGAGAGAGAAGTGGGGTCGGACAGGCGCAGGTTTGTCTGAGCTCCGCGGGTGCCGGCTCTGGTCTGCCCGTGGCTCCTCTGAACTCACCCAGTCTCAGCCAGCTCTGCGAGGAATTGTGCGTTTCCCCTTCCAGCTATGAGGAGATTCATACAGTTTTTGCCCATGAATTTTGTAAAATCATTTGAGTTTGATAAAATTATTTTACAAAATCTTCTGAGACCAGTATTTTTCTACTTTAGTCTGTTGATATGGAGAATAATAACATGCTGATATTAAAACACACTTGCATTTCTGATATAAGCCTACTTGGTCATGATAACTTTCTGTTTGTTGTTAATTCTGAATTTGATTTGCTAATATTTAATAAGGTTTTGTAGGCATTGGTCTGTAATTTTCTTGGCTGGTTTTGTATAGCTGTGCAGGCCTCATGAAATGAATTAGGAAATGTTCTGTTTTTAAATCTTTGAATTCTCTGAGGGAGTTTCTCTGAATTCTCTGAGGATGTTCTTTCCCTCGAGGATGTGTCAGAACTCGCCCGTGGAGACGCCAGGGCCTGGCATTGCCGTGTGGGCAAAGGGATGACACTGCTCTCACGCTGATGTCCTTACTGGTCAGTGCTCGACTCATAGCAGCCACTTCTTCTTGAGTCAGTTTCAGTGATTGACAGTTATCTAGCTAACTAGCCATTTAATCTAAGATTTAATAAATATTGGCATACGTTTCGTAGTTGTCTCTGATAGATTATAAAATCTCTCATATCTCCTTGATGTCCTCTTTAAATTTATATTGTTTTATCTACTCATCCCTTTCTCTCTCCCCCCACCATGGTTTGCAGGTAAATGATACACGACGGAGGAAAACATGCAACAAAGATCCTCTTCTCCACCAGACCTTAGTCAGGCTCCTCTGAGCCCTCTGCTCAGCTAGACCCAACCTTGGGTTTCTTTCTCTGTCCTTGTAGAGTCCAGATTTAGCAAGAATCCTGCTAGGTCAGTTTAGCCAGAATCCCCTGGCTAAACTTGTATCTGATCAGCCTCCATATCTGACGAAATTCCTCCCCACTCACCATTCCAGGTAATATCCGATCACACCGGCCTGCCTCCAGTAAGAATCCTGTTAGGTCCACTCAGCAAGAATTACTCCACCCTCCGGGTGGTTTTCCATCCACTGATGGTGAACCTGCTCCTTGGCTGTAAATCCCCCCTTTCCTCCGTCGATTCAGCGTTGAGCCCCATCTCTGTCCCTGCTGCAAACCCCAGTGCAGCTGTCCCTCTGGGTAAAGTGGGTTGACTTACTGTCTTTCACAGATGTCAGAATAACATTTTCTTTAGCGCAAGTCAACAAATAATTATAATATGGTTGAGGAGTGCTGTAGGGAAATCCATGAAAGGGGCTCTGGGGTTATAGAGGAATCCACTAATTGCACAGTAGGGTTTGTAGAGGTCCAAGAATTTGGAAAATATGGAGGAAAGTGGGAGGACCAGGCTTGGCGGGGAGTGGGGAGACAGTGCTGAGCACTGTCAGGGCCAGACTGATGGGGGCACTGGAGCAGTTCCGCAGCTCTCCGTTACCCAAGGGGCACATCCTATAAGGGGGTACATGCACTTCTAGACACCAGCTCACAGAAAGGCACAAGTTCACTGCATTAAATAACCACGGAGTCTGTTGCAGCTGCATCTGGAAGATCACTGGATCGAGGACACCGGAGTACCAGATGCGGCAGCAGCAGCTGAGCCTCTGCAGCTGCACAGCGAGGCACCCTGCTCTCCAGCCTGGGACGGAGGTGGTGCTGCAAACCCCAAACTCTAGCCTGCTGCACGTTTTAAGGTTCCTTCCTGAGGAAAAATTTCTGGGTCAGTCAGTACCTATGTTTGTATTCAAATAACAACCCAGCACAAGCTGACTTTACCTGCAAAGAGGGCAGCATTACCTCATGGAACTGGAATTTGACTACAAACTGGGCTTGGACATGATGTGGTCCAAATTCCAACCATCTCACTGCATCTCCCAGCAATAGGGGAAGGGTGGTTCCAGTTTAAAAAGCAAATCAGTTGTGGGAATGGGCAGTGTGGAGTGGAGAGGAGGAAAGTGCAGTCAATTTTGAGTTTAGATTCTCCAGACCCTGCATCGTTTGGTTTCCGGCCCCTCCTCTATTCTCAGTGCTGCCTTCATCTCAGCCTGTAGACAGTGGTGTTGATGCTGGAGGGTTGAGGCCTGTGCTTGACATTTTAGGGCCCAGTGGCTTTCCAGGACATGAGCCCGGTTGTAGCCCCAGGACCCCTCTCAGAGGAGCCTGTACAGAGAGACATGATGCTGAAGAACTACAGGTACCTTCTCTGAGCAGGTAGGGACAACATTCTGCATCCTCACACAGCTCCTGGTGATGGGTCTCTGTCTCCTCAGTGTCAGGAGCTGTGGGGATGCTTGAGATGCCCATAAAGCTCAAAAAGTCCCAAGCTCATTAACTGTGGGTCTAAAATTCGGCATCTCAGGCTGCCTGAAACCCTAACAAATAGATAACAAGACATTCTTTTCCCACTTGGGTAAAAACTTTTCTTGCTAAAGTTGTAAAGGGGTAGTTTCACTGGGTTGCTTCTGCAGCCTTGTCTTATTACCTGTCTTTGAGAAACTTCAAAGATAACATCTGGCTAGTACTACGTTTGGGGTAATTTATCTCTCCGCATGCTTTTCCAGGCCCTTATGGCTTCCCTCATTCTCAGAGAATGAACTCTTTACAGCAGACTCTAGATCTGCACTAGGCCCCGAAGAACCACTTGGCATGATGGAGCATAAACCCTCCCAAGAGGCATGGCTTAGGTGGGAGCATTCAGCTGAGAGTCCTGGCAGGTGGTGCCCAGGTCAGCACTGCCCAGGGAGGGGTCACTCCCCACATGTGGTTCCTGAGTCCTGGAAACGGGGCGAGTCCAAACAGACATTTGCTGTGAGTGTAAACACATACTGGATCTCAAAGACTAGAATGAAAAAAAGTGTAAAGTATTGATAATTTTACACTGATTATATGTTGCATAACAATATTCTCAATTGAATAAAATATAACTAAATTTACCTGTTTATTTTTATGTTTTTTCTATTTTATGTATTTATTTTTAGAGAGAGGGGAAGGGAAGGAGAAAAAGAAAGGGAGAAACATCCATGTGTGAGAGATACTGGTTAATGCTCTGCTCATACACCCCTTGCTCGGGACCTGGCCTGCAAGCCAGGCTTGTGCTCTGACTGGGAATTGAACCAGTGACCTTTCAGTTCACAGGCCAGCATTCAATCCACTGAGCCTCACCAACTAGGTCTGTTTATTTTACTTTTAAATATACTTATTAGTTTGCTAGGGCTTCCATTACAATGTCTCACAAACTGGATGGCTTAGAACAACTTAAACTTTATTATTTCATTGCCCTGAAGGCTAAAAGTCCAAGATCGAGGTGTGGTCAGCATTGGTTCCTTCTGAGGCCAGAGAGAGCACATCTGTTCCATGCTTCTCTCCCGGCTTCTGTGGTGTTCCTTGGCTTGTGGCAGCATAATTCCAACCTTCACATGGCCTTATAAGAATTTCCTATTTTTATAAGGACACCAGTCATATTGGGTTAAACCCTTTCCTAGTGATGTCATCCTAACTAATTACATCTGCAATGACTATTTCCAAATAAGGTTACATTCTGAGGTACTGAGGATAGGGCTTCGGTACAGGAATTTGGGGTGAGAGGGGCACATTTCAACTGATAATGCAGCCTCAAATTTTGATTACGCAGAGCTGGCCTAGGCAGTCAGTGGAACAGGGCTGCCTGTTGACTGGGATCACGATGAGGCACGTTCATGCATTCCATGACAACTCACTGACCATTGATTACATGATTCGGCTCTGGAGGTCGAGCACAAGACAGTTAGCCAAAATATATCCCCCTCTCAAGGCACTTGCACTTTAGTGAGGGATGCAGAAAGCAGTCAATAAGCACACACATTTTAACTGCACAGTGGGCTAAGTGCTATGAGAGACAAGGACGGGTGTAATGGTGTTGAACTTCACCTGTGCCCTGTGCTCCTAGCAACCAGCAATGGTTAGAAGCTCACCCACCCTACTATGCTGGGGAAAACAGCTGACTGCAAGGAAACTACCCTCCCCACGTGACTTAGATAAGACTCTCAGCAGACCCTTGTCCTATGGTGAGCCCAGACACAGAGCCCCAAACTCCCATTCTTGTCTCACAAGTGAGCGTGGCCTTGTTGGCAGAGCAGTGAATGCTGTGAAGAGAGCAAACTGTCTGACCGACAGTTTGAGACAAACATGGTGCTTCTCTTCCTTGGACCTTCTTTCCACTTGTCAGTTGTGTGCCATCGATATCTCAGTATTCAAGGTGTTAGAGAGAGTCAGCTGTGTTCAGTGTTGGTGAGAGTATGAATAAAAGTGCATCCAGATCCTGGTTAGTGTGGCTTGATGGAATGAATGCTGGCCTGTGGACCAAAAGGTCACCAGTTCGATTCCCAGTCAGGGCAAGTGCCTGGGTTGTGGGCCAGGTCTCCAGTTGAAGGTGTGTGAGAGGAAACCAATCAGTTTCTTTTCCTCTCTTTCTCCCTCCTTTCCCCTCTCTCTAAAAATAAATAAATAAAATCCTTTTTAAAAGGTGCCCCTGGATGTACTGACCCCCTTCGCACTACACACAGGCTTTTGGCTACCATTTTTGAGCACTCACATGTTTTCATGTGCTCTAGACACTCTACTAAGCCCTTTACACACATTTCCTTATTTAGTTTTTACAACAACCCTATGAATTAGATACTATTAATATTTCCATTTTTAGGATGAGAGGCTAACTTTTTAAAAAGATTTATTTGTTTGTTTATTTGTTTATTTATTTTTTATACAGAAGGAAAGAAGGGAGGAAGAGAGGGAGAGAAACATCAATGTATGGTTGCCTCTCACACTTCCCCCGCCAGGGACCCAGCCTGCAACCCAGGCATGTGTCCTGACTGGAAATCAAACCAGCAACCCTTTGGTTTGCAGACCCACACTCAATCCACCAAGCTACACCAACCAGGGTTCACTTGCATTTTTATATACCAATAATGAATTATCAGACAGGGAAACCAAGAAAACAATCCCATACAATTACATAAAAAAATACCTAGAAATACATTTAACCAAGGAAGTAAAAGATGTATACTTGATAAATTTTAAGACACTAAAGAAAGAAATTGAAGAAGATACAAGTAAATGGAACAATACATCATGTTTATGGATAGGAAGAATTAACATCATTAAAATGTCCATACTACCCAAAGCAATGTATAGATTCTATGCAATTCCTATCAAAATACCAATGCCATTTACCACAGAACCTGAATAAATAATCTAAAAATTTATATGGAATTACAAAAGACCCTCAAAAGCCACAGCAAAATTGAGAAGAACAAAGTTAGTGGTATCATGCTACCTACTATCAAACTATATTACAAGGCTATAGTAATCAAAATAGCACGGTACTGGAATGAAAATAGACACGCAGGTCAAAGGAATCGAATATAGAGCCCAGAAATAAACCCACTCCTTTATAGTCAATTAATGTATGACAAAGGAGGCAAGAACATACAATGACATAAAGACAGCCTATTCAATAAATGGTGCTGGGGAAATTGGACAGATAACATGCAAAAAATGAACCTAGACCACCTTTTTTTACCATAAACAAAAAAATTCAAAGTGGGTTAAAAACTTAAATGTAAGAGTCAAAACCATAAAACTCGTAGAAGAAAACATAGGTGGTAAATTCTCTGATATTTTACTTTGCAATATTTTTCCTAGCAATATTTTTCCTGACATATCTCCTCGGGCAAGGGAAACAAAAGGAAAAATAAACAAATGGTACTGCACCAAACTAAAAAGTTTTTGCACAGCAAAGAAAAACATCAACAAAACAAAAACACACCTTGTTGAATTGGGGAAGATATTCACCAATCATACATGTGATGAGGGGTCAAAATTTATAAAGAACTCATGCAACTCAACATCAAAAACAAATAATCCAATTTTAAAAATGGGCAGAAATCCTGAATAGACACTTCTCCAAAGAGAACATACAGATGGTCAATAGACATATGAAAATATGCTCAATGTCACTAATCATCAGAGAAATACAAATTAAAATTACCAAATCAAGCTATCACAATGGATATCATCAATAAATCAACACATAAGAGTTGGCGAGGATGTGGAGAAAAGGGAACCTTTAGACACTTAATGTTGGAATGCAGATTGGTGCAACTGCTACAGAAAACAGTACAGAAGGTCCTCAAAAAATTAAAAATGAAACTGCCTTCTGACCCAGTGATGCCACTTCTGGGTATACATCCAAAGAAACCCAAAACACTAATTTGAAAGAGTATATGCATCCTGATGTTAATTGCAGCATTATTTGCAATAGCCAAGCTATTAAATCAACCCATCAATAGACAAGTGGACAAAGAAGATGTGACACATATATACAATGGGAGGTTACTAGGTCATAAAAAATGAAATCTTGTCGTTTGTGACAGAGTGGATGGACATAGAGAGTATTACACTCAGTGAAATAAGTCAGTCAGAGAAAGACTAATGCCATATGATTTCACTGACTGTATATGTGAAATCTAAAGAGTAAAATAAGTGAATAAAGAAAGTAGAGACAGACTTATAGACACATAGATCAAACCAATGGTTGCCAGAGGCAGGGGTGGTTTGGGGGATAAAAAAGGTGAAAGAATTAAGAAATGCAAACTGGCAGTCACAAAATAGTTACAAGGATGTAAAGGACACATAGGGCCCAGGCCAGGTGGCTCAGTTGGTTGGAGTGTAGTCCTGTTCAACAAAAGGCTGCATGCAGGTTCAATCCTCAGTCAGGGCATATTCCTCAGCTGTGGGTTTGATCCCCAGTCAGGGTACCTATGGTAGGTAACCCATCGAAGTTTCTCTTTCATAATTCTCTCTCCCTCCCTCTCTCTCTCTCTCTCTCTCTCTCTCTCTCTCTCTCTCTCTCTCTCTCTCTCCCCCCTCCTCTATCTCTAAAATTAATAAGCATGTCTTTGGGTAAGGATTTTATAAATAAATAAATAAATAAAATACAACATAGGGAAAATAGTCAATAACATCGTATAGCTATGTATGATGCCCACTAGGTACTTGAAAATTGGAGGACCACTTTGTAAAGTATATGATTGTCTAACTACTATATTGTCCACCTGAAACTAATATAAAATGATATTCAATGTTAACTGTAATTGAAAAATAAAATTTAAATTTTAAAAAAGGCCAGCCCTAGCTGTTGTGGCTCAGTAGATTGAGCACCAGCCTGTGAAAACCAAAAGGTCACCACTTCAGTTCCCAGTCAGGGCAGAAGCCTGGGCTGCAGACCAGGTATCCAGGTTGGGGCATGTGAGAGGCAACCAATTGATGTTTCTCTCACACTTTGATGTTTCTCTCTCTTTCTCCCTAACTTCCCCTCTCGAAAGAAAGAAAGAAAGAAAGAAAGAAAGAAAGAAAGAAAGAAAGAAAGAAAGAAAGAAAAAGAAAGAAAGAAAGAAAGTCTTTAAAAGATAAAATTAAAAATTAAAAATGCCAGGCTTCTGGGAACCAAGACAACTTGTAAATAAATCTGTTGTATCGGGGTTTAAGAGGGAAACAAATGACTGGGAAAATAACCAGTTAGAGAGATGAAAAGAAATTGGCCCATCTTTGTGGGCCAAGTAAGGGCTCCATGGAACAAGTGTCTAGAATATTTGCCTTGTCTAGGCATCTCAATGTTTTATGTCTAAAATGAGGTTCTTGGGGGGTTTTTGTTCCCCCAATGTTTTTCTAGTATTCTCCATATCATAAATTGGTACCATTATCTTTACACACACACACACACACACACACACACCATTGATCAAACCAAAAGCTTGGGAGTGATCTGTGATTCCTCCTTTTCCCCTCAACTCCTCCCACATCCAATCCGCGAACAAGTCCTATCAGTTCTACTTGAAGGAGAGCTGTCAATCTTTGGTCCACTCTTTCTGTCCACTTCTGTTGCCAAAAGGCTAGTCTGAGCCACCATCATCTCTCGTCTTTACTTCTGGTCCACCCAAATCCTGTCTCCACAAGTGGTGAGAGCCATCTTTAAAACTTTAGGCACTGCCTCACTTCAGCATAAGAGCTTTCAGTAGGTCCCAGTTGCTCTAAGAATATACCAACTCATTCACATTGCTTTAAAGTACTTACATCAGCCCTGGCTGGTGTGGCTCAGTGGATTGAGCACCAGCCTGAAAACCAAAGGGCTGCCAGTTTGATTCCCAGTCAGGGCACATGCCTGGCTTGCAGGCCAGGTCCTCAGTAGGGGGCATGGGAGAGGCAGCCACACACTGATGTTTCCCTCTCTTTCTCCCTCCCTTCCCCTCTCTCTAAAACTAAAATAAATAAAATTTTTTTAAAAAAGAAAGAAAGAAGTAGCCCTGGCTGGCGTAGCTCAGTGGATTGAGTGCGGGCTGCGAACCAAAGTGTTGCAGGTTCAATTCCTAGTCAGGGTACATGCCTGGGTTGCAGGCCATGGCTCCCAGCAACCGCACATTGATGTTTCTCTCTCTTTCTTCCTCCCTTCCCTCTCTAAAAATAAATAAATAAAATCCTAAAAAAAAAAGAAAAAGAAAGAAAGAACTTACATCTTACACAACTGTCTCTGAACGTGTCATATCATCTGAGCCAGGCTCCATTTTAAATAGATACATTAGCTCATTTAATCTTTGCCACAACCCATGACGTAGGTGCTATCAGCCCCATTTTACATCTGAGGAACCTGGGAGCATGAGGTGACTAAGGGACATGCCTAAAATCACAGTCTCACCATTTAAGTGGTGAAGGCCAAAGTTTCCCAAGGTTGAAATGGCAGAGTCAAAGCCACAGAATGAAGCAAGCCTTGTATTCTTTAGTTCTCACGCTGTGAATTAGGATTCAGAAACTGCCATTTCTTTGCTCAGCCATGGGAAGGGACAACAAAAAAGCCAAAGACCTGACCCACATGATCACTTTATGAGTGTTTGTGTGGCCCCACTCTGAAATATTAAAATAGGCAATCATAATAATGACTTATCATGATTGAATTTGCTTTATTTTTAAGAGTAGTAAGAATGGAGTATCTACTCGAGTTTCTTACTGTAAGAACCATGTAGTCAATATATTTGTTTGCTGGGGCTGCCATGACAAAATACCAGAGGAAATTATTTTCTCACAATTCTGGAGACTAGAAGTCTGAGATGAAGTTGCAACAGGTTTGGTTTCTTCGGATGCCCTTCACTGTGGCTTCCAGCTGCAACACTTCCTTACTGTGTCTTCACTTGATTGTCCTTGGTGTCCTAGTCTCCCCTGCTTAGAAGGAAGCCAGTCAGGCTGCATTTGGGCCCATCTCTAGTTACCCCTTTAAAGACCTTCTCTCCAGATACAGTCACATTCTAAGACACTTTCGTTAGGGCTTCAACATAAGTTTTGGAGACGTAGTTCAGTCCATCATGGTCCATCTTAAAGAGAATGGTATCAGTAATTTAGAAAACTAAAAAATTTCAGCTTACAAAGCTGAGTTGCAGATAAAAAAAAAAACATAGGGAAAACCATTTCCAAAGTAAAAGGTAAAGAGCAACCTTAGGGGCCAGGAAAAAAGTGATCTTACCTGGAAGAGGTCAAAATTTGAAGGAGGTTTTCTAATGTGAAGTTGGAAATGAGGATGGAACATTTTACAGACTGAAAATCCTCAGCACAGCCATGCAGGTCATGACATATAAGTGTAACGCTACAGAGCAGGTATGATCACCACCGCCTGCCCCTGAAACACTGACTAACAAGATTCCCGTGGTTAGTTAAGTCCAATCAGCACAGCTCCTAAAGTAGAAAGTCCTGTTTCCTTAGTGATTCCCTCATCAGACATGCAACATACCAGAAGCAGACCTAGCACCATTAAAACAATGGAATCGTCTGCTTTTTCTCAATACAAGATGTAATAACACAGCTGAGCTGGGTAAAAGGCTATATTTTGTCACAACCAGATGGTCTTTGTGGCCATTGTTGGGTCTGGGATTTTATTTCACTTTATTTATAAGCTAATAAGTTCATCTGTTACTGTCCTACAGGTACTTGCTGGCAGAAGACAAGGTTCCAGGGTCAGAGACAAAGGACCTTATTTCCTTTGGCTCTACAAGAAGTATGACCACCTCCTGTATTTGGTCCCCTTGCTTCCTTCCTGGTTCCACAGCAAAGCAGAGGGGCCCAGGGACATGCTGCCCATGCAGTGAATCTACACTGCAGTGGAGGAACATGGAGCGTGGGAAACGCGCTGCTGTATAGGAAACAGTAAAAACCCTGTTTCTTGTCCCAGAGGAAGATACCACCTCAGCCCTCAACATTGCTCACTGCAAACACAAGGCTGAGAAGTGCGAGGTAAAGACAGTTAGGACCTTACATTCTCAAGCACCTAATAAGTGTGTGCAGGGACACTCAGGGCCTAGGATGGAGGCTTTTCAGGGCCTGTAAAGGCTCTGAGACTCGGGGATGGAGGCCCCCCCCATAGCCTTCTGGGGAGGCCCTGGGAGTTCTGATGGCCCGAATTACCGGGCAACCAATCAGTGGGCAGAGAGTCAATGACAGCAAGGGGTGTAAGGAACTGTAGGAGCAACAACTACTGCAATAAAATATAAGAGTCCCAGGTGAAGAAGTACAACACAACAAACTCTACCCATATTCACCAGTAGTGACCGAAACAGGAGATTTGAGAAACTCTCACTGTGTTAAATATGCAGTAAAATTCAAACTTTTAAAGTGTGCTTTATACAGGCGAAATGAGAGTCACAGTCAGAAATAAGGCAAATGGTCATTCATGAGCAAAATGACCCTTTTTCCAGGTGATACTTCTAGACTCTTTTGTCATTCTCTATAAAAAGCTATCCTTACACAAGTCAAAGATGCTTGAAAAACCTAAACTCAATTACATGTATCTGGAAGAACTTTTTAAACCTGCGATCTCGGATAAGGATAAGTCGGTAGATACCCCGTAGGTCTAATGTGTTAGAAATGTAACCAAACAAGTTTTTCTGGGATGTCGGTCACCAGGAGAAAACTGACAATGTTCCTTAGGCTACGACAACTCTTACAAAACCAACATTCCTGTCATTTTTCAGGCAGCACAAGACCTCCGGAGTGAGGCTAAGGGTTCTCCAGGGCATGGCTGGTCACAGGGCTCCAAGGGGTGACGGCCGCCAGCTCCATGAGATGGAGGCGTGCATGGCGTGAGGCTCAGAGTTATGGGACGCATTTTATCAGTCCCCAGTCCATGTTTCATCAGTCCCCATTATTGTTCACGACTGTGAGGGGAGAAACAGTGTCTGAGGTCAAAGGAAGAATAAGTCTTGTGAGCCAAAGGGTGTTTGCTTCTGCCAGTACAATGATGATGGTAGAACTTTATTTGCTTTTTTTTTAACATATTCAAGTTGTAAGAGAACAAAAAACGAAAGATAGTAAGGACAAAATGCAGTTTGAATTATTTTCATTCTACTTGGGCCAGTAAAGTACAGACATGCAATTAATCACAATATAACACCAAAAACAAGGAAGATGGGGGAAGCAAGCAGTTAGTACTGACCTGACCGGGTCCCTCTGACTCTTTAGCTGTCACCTACGGAACAGTGCTGCCACCAGCAGGGCATCCAGGAAGCAGCACTATGGGCTGCAGCCCAGAAAGGTGCTGTTTGAGGTCTTTTAGCCATCCCACTGCTCATCAAATTCATGCACATCTTGTATTGCATGTCTGAAGACCTCAAGGCTCAGGCCAACATGTAAGAATCACCAGTCTGAATGTACTGCACCCACCACTTTCCTCTGGCCTCTCTTCTAAGCTGGGACCATGCTTACTCCGGCAAACCATTCACTTTCCACCATCTTAACTGTACACACAATTTAAAAGTTCAACTCGGGTCTCCATACAGGCTCACTCTGCATCCATCTCATTCTGTTAAAGGTCTTTCCATCCACCTGGTTGTTCAATCAAGAATCACAGGACTCCCAATTGACTATTTCCTCATGCTCCTGCCCCAAATATGGCAACATTGGTCCTACTGATGCAACCTTAAAATACACTATTTAGGAAATGCTTCTCAAATTCTCAATGTTCTTGAGAATTACCTGAGGTGCCTTTTGATATGGAGATCCCTGGACTCCGTGTTCTCATGGCCAAGCCTGAAATAAACAAGGCAGGGAATGTGCTGCCCTGTAGTGGAAAGAGCTGTGAGGGGCAGGCAAAAATGTGGATGTGTAGAGATGGAAGGAAGGGAGGAAGGGAGGAAGGTTACGAAGAATGATTCCCTCTATAAAGTGAAACTTTGTTAACTAGATGTAGAACACCTGATCATGAATCCTTGCATTTAAAATAGATACTCATTAAATGGCTCTCAAATTCCCTTCCCTTGAGTCTTCCCATGTGTTCAGGGCTCATGTGCACAAGCACACACAACTCTCAGGGAACCTCAGAGTCATGTGGGCAGCACGAGGCAGGCATCAGGAGCAGAGCAAAGGGAGTGAATGGTCCACACGGTGTTCCGGGACAGTGGGCTCAGAGTCTGCTGTGAGGGCTGAGGTGGGGCTGGGGGAGGGCAGGGCCGCAGGGAGGGGGAGGGTACCAGGTTGCTGGGCACTGCTGTCCAGGAAGGAGCACTACTCCCACCAGGGAACACATCTCTCTGCAGCACTGGGAGTACACAGGGGCCCCAGTGCCCACCCTGCAGCCGGGGGCAGAATTTGCAGTCTGTGCCCCAAGTGGATGGGACTGAGGTTGATGAGGACAACCAAGGGAAACCTGTAATTCCAAACTCAAAGCCTGTCCTTGAAAATTAAAAATCTCCATGAATTCTCTGTTAGATTCCCAAGGCACACCCCATCACACTACTGACATCTGCATCCATACGAAGCTCAGTCAGTTCCCGGGTTTCGCCCCCATGGGTCCACTTGCAGACTCACAGGGGATAACGTTTGTCCCTGCATCTCTCCTTTGCTCAGCTGCTGCCACCTACTGGCAGGTGACTGGTACTCAGGACCTGCAGCCTGAGAGCCTGGTCTCACCGCTGCCCAGGAAGGCAGGGCTGGGCCTCCACACTGGTGGGGTCAGGGGCAGCAGTGACCACTCTGCAGACCTGGGGGTCCTGGCAACTGGGCAGTCAGAGCTGCCCAAGGGTAAGGGGGATGGGAAGTTAATGTGGGACTGAGTCAGGAACAGGACTGAGGGGCCTCAGGTGAAAGCACTGAGATGGGAAGTTCTTGACTGTTTGCAGGGAAAGGCTGGGTTCTCCAGAGGAAATGTTCTGGGCCCTGACTCAGCTGCAGCTGCTCAGCTGGCTGTGGGCCTCCTGTCTGCCCATCACCTCCCAGCTGTCACGCCCATGAATGAAGGTCTCCCCCACGTCCACCTGCGCTTACCCACCTGCACTGCCCCACCTGCTCTGCCCCACCTGCTCTGCCCCACCTGTGCTGCCCTACCTGTGCTGCCCCATCTGTGCTCATTTAGGGTCCAGCTCTCCATGAAGGGGTTCTGGGTCCCTTTTCTGCACTGCAGGGAGGGGGAGGGGAGATGGAATCCCCACAGACAGCCCATCAGTGGTGTCCTGAGAGGAGGGGCCAGGCAGGGCCTCACAGTTCCACGTCCTGGGTCCTGATCCAGACTTGATGGCAAAGCCCGGACACCACCTGCTCCCTCGGCCCTGAGGGAACCTCCCTCATCCCCCTGCACAGACCTGACCTTGGGTGCCATCGTCATTACCTGAGCGTTTGGACACCTTTCTTTTCTCACAGTCGTCGGTGCGTCCAGGCTCTGGGGGACATGTGACTCTCTGTGTATACAGATGAGTGACAGAAACACACAGAGAGAAACTGCACTAGTGCTCACAGATGATCTATATGAACTTAAGAAACATTAAAATCATAGGAGAGTCTACGTAACATCAACATCTCTGAGCTAAAACATGAAGTGTAGGTGGCTACTGCCATTTCCTTAAGAGCTAAATTGCAAAAAAGTGACATTAATAATGAACTAGAAGTATATATGTGACAATTAGTGGTAAAACTAAGTTATTTCTTTGTCCTTAAGAGAGCATTCCAGTGCATTACTTTCACTTTTACCATGTATTGCAGAAACGGAATGCCTTCCAGTCGGTGTGTCTTCCCACCATCCTGAAGCAGCTGGCTCTGTTTACTGGGACCAGATAGAAGTGATCCTTTCTCCCTTTCAATATCAAATACAAGCCCTGGCTGTTGTGGCTCAGTGGATTGAGCACTGGCCTGCAAACCGAAGAGTCTCTGGTTCAATTCGCAGTCAGTGCACATGCCTGAGTTGCAGGCCAGGTCCCCAGTAGGGGTAGCTGGAGAGGCAACCACACATTAATGTTTCTCTCCCTCTCTCCTTCCCTTCCCCTCTCTAAAAATAAATAAATAAAATCTTTAAAAAATATATCAATGGGCTGGCCAAGATGGAGGCATAGGTAGAAACACTTCACTTCCTTGCACAATGAAAAGAAGGATAACAACCAATTTTAAAACAATAAACAACCAGAACTCCCAGAATATCAAACTGCATGGAACTCTGACAACAAGGAATTAAAGAAACATTCGTCCAGACCTGTAAGATAGGCATAGATGGGCAGCCAGGCAGAGAGGACCTGCAGCAAGGTGGTGTACCATGCTGGCGAGGCAGGGCTGGCTGAATGGGAAACTGAAGACTCAAAACCTCTAGCTATAAAATACTGCAGGGGTTGTGAAGGTGGGAAAATTCTCAGTCTCACAGGAGAGTTCATTGGAAAGTAGGGCTAGAACAGAGTGAGCGAGCACCATTCTTCCCTCTCTGACCCCTCCCCCACAGACAGTGCCACAATTCAGCAATATGGGTTGCCCTGACTGGGCAAATACCTAAGGCTCTGCCCTGTTACAACATAACAGGTGCATGACGACAAAAAAATATGCTCCAAATGAAAGAACTGATCAAAACTCCACAAAAAGAACTATGCGACAAAGAGATAGCCAACCTATCTGATGCAGAGTTCAAAACACTGGTAGTCAGTACGCTCACAGAATTGGTTGAGTATAGTCAGAAAATGAAGGAAGAAATGAAGGCTACCCAAAGTGAAATAAAGCAAAATATACAAGGAACCAACAGTGAAGGGAAGGAAACTGTGACTCAAATCAATGATTTGGAACAAAAGGAAGAAATAAACATCCAACCAGAACAGAATGAAGAAATAAGAATTCAAAAAAATGAAGAGACACTTAGGAACCTCTGGTACAACTTTAAGCATTCCAACATCTGAATCACAGGGGTGCCAGAAGGAGATGAAGAGCAACATATTGAAAACTTATTTGAAAAAAATAGTGAAGGAGAACTTCCCCATTCTGGCAAAGTAAATACACTTCCAGGAAGTCCAGGAAGCCCAGGGAGTCCCAAAGAAATTTTATGCAAAGAGGAATACACCAAGGCACATCATAATTATGTTATCCAAGGTTAAAGATAAGGAGAGAATCATAAAAGCAGCAAGAGAAAAGAAAACAGTTACCTACAAAGGAGTTCCCATTAGACTAACAACTGATTTCTCAAAAGAAATCTTGCAGGCAAGAAGAAGCTGGAAAGAAGTATTCCAAGTCATGAAAGGCAAGGACCTACATCCAAGATTGCTCTATCCAGCAAAGCTTTCATTTAGAATGGAAGGGCAGATAAAGTGCTTCCCAGATAATGTCAAGTTAAAGGAGTTCGTCATCACCCAGCCCTTATTATATGAAATGTTAAAGGGACTTACCTAAGGAAAAAAAGATGATAAAAAAGTATGAACAGTAAAACGACAACAAACTCATAACTATCAACAACTGAACTTAAAAAAACAAAACCAAAAGAAACTAAGCAGACAACTAGAACAGGAACAGAATCACAGAAATGGAGATCATGAGGAGTGGAGGGGGAGGAGGGAGAATTGGGGGAAGGTACAGGGAATAAGAAGCACAAATGATTGATACAAAAATAGGTGGTGGGGGTGGATAACAACAGCATAGGAAGTGGAAGCAAAAGAACTTACAGGTACAACCCATGGACATGAACTAAGGGGGAGTGAATGCTGGAGGTGGGGTGCAGGGCAAAGGGGGAATAAAGGGGAGAAAATAATTGGGACAACTGTAATAGCATAATCAATAAAATATACTTAAAATAAAAAAAGAAAAAAGAAAGTATACTTAAAAATATCAAATACAAGGGTAGAGGCAGCTCCCAACCCCTCCCCCAGAGACAACCCCTGAGACCCTGCTACTGGGGTGCCCCATGCCCTGCTGTCATCCCAGGGCACAGCCTGGTGTAACCTACGCACCATCCTACCCGTGCAATGCCAACCGACACCGGAACCTTGTGCACATCACTCGAGTGACATCCAAGCACTTGGGAACCTTCTGGAAGCCAAATCCCGCTCCAAGGCACCAACAACCCTGCCTGCTCCTCCAGGGCAACAGCAGGGGACAGAGCTTGTGCCCTCCTGAGCCTGAGCTGTGCCCAAGCTTTGTAACAAATCCATTGGGATGCTGGTCCCACCAGTCCTGAAATCACCTGCCAAGATCCGGTAGTATGAGCTCTACAGCTGCCAGCAGTGGTGGTCACCAAGGCTTGGAGATGCTTTCCCATACGTGACTCCAATTCTATCACCAGCCCCTCTCTCTGATGCTGATGCTGGGAGGGTTATGTGAGGCAGAGTTGGGTCTGCTCTTGCAACTGGGACGTCAGAGTGTGTGGAACTGGACATCAGGAGTGTGGAACTGGGAGGAGTGTGGAACTGGGACATCAGGATTGCTCCTCTGAGCACAAGGGGAGTATCCCTCTATACCATCAGTACATGTACCCACATCTGCAGGCCCCCACCGCAGAGCAGCACCCAGA